TAAAAAAAAAAAATTCCCCTTTCCCTCAAACTTTGCGTGACCCCCCCTGGAGCCCCCTGGTGGCCCCCCGGGGGGTCGGGGCCCCCACTTTGAAAAACACTGAATTAGATAGTTTCCTTCATTGCTCGTTGTAAGTAGAAAGCCGTGAGTATTTTAATAAAGCTATATTTAAGACGTGTGCAGGGCGCAGCTCACCTCTCTTTTCGAGCACCTGGACCTCCAAGCCTCCCACTTTTGAGTCTTCTGGGTTTTTCCAGGGTGTATTGATACGTACAATCATCATCTTCGTCACGGAAACTGCAATGTTCCAGCACCTTCTCCGCTGGAAAAACACACATATCAGAAATATGTTATTTATCCCTGTGATTGGATTTCTTAACAGTTTCTCAATTTTAAGAGTAAAAGAAAAATAATTCAACTTTTTCTTAGAACCGACAGTTTTTCTTGAAATGTTGAATTTTTCTCAGAATTTGATTTCAAATATTGATATAAAACGTTCACATTGTACTTTGTTTACCTTCTTTGAGTTTATCCACCAGCCTGATCTTAAAGGGGCACGTGTCACAATCCTTTTTGTCTTTCTTTTCTCCCGTTTTCCACGCCTGACACTGAATGCAACTCCTTGTACCCTCGCACGCACCCGACAGGGCCTGCACAGGACCGCAATTAAAATATTAAAATATATAAGAAACATTTGTAGAAATGCCTTTATGCAATGCTTAACAATTAAATAAGAACAATACGAAAAAACAAGAAGAAAAAAAAATAAGATTAAAATAAGAATGTGGGAGAATAGTTGTTACTGCTATTATCACTGATGCAGATGTCAAATAATGTTTAGACAGACAGACAGACAGACAGACAGACAGACAGACAGACAGACAGACAGACAGACAGACAGACAGACAGACAGACAGACAGACAGACACCACACACACACACACACACACACACACACACACACACACACACACACACACACACACACACACACACACACACACACACACACACACACACACACACACACACACACACACACACACACACACACGAAAGGTAGAAACTGCCTTGGAGGGAACACACTTTGGGTCATAATTAAATATACATGTTAACAAATAAAATCCACACACCTGGAAATTTGGCTCACAGGTTCCAGTCAATTCGATTCCAGATTTGGGACACACGCAGAGGCCACACACACATTCACCTCGCCCGTTACACACACCCTGTTACAAATAAAGACTCGTGAATAGGGTAAACAAATTAACTTACAGATATCACAGTGAAACTTCGCCCCCTCAGTACTGACATTAACACAATATTTATTTGTATTACAAGTTTTCTGAAATGGTATGTTTAAATATGCAAATGAGGCATACTGTTAGCAAATATGCGATAATTTGAATATTATCCGGAACATAGATCTGTGTGCAACTATAAATATGTTGAAGATATGCAAGAAATATTTGAGGGGGGGCTTTCTGAGCCACCTATACATGTGGTCATAAAGTAAAAAGTGTGCAACTGAAATACCAAGTCACTTTTTACACACAGATTTGCCTTAAATCACACTACAGGTGAATAGGGTAGCATTTTAAACAGACAGATATCGCCATGAAACTTCCCAACCTCATTACTCACATTAAGAAAGTTATTTTTTATATTACAAGTTTTCCGACAAATTGGGCGTTATGTAATGCTAGCTTTAGGTGAATTAATGAGAAATCTGCAGACGTAAAAAGACAAAGTTAGTCAATAAACAACAAAAAGTTGATTTTGGATGTTTTCGATCCACTAGTCTGAAAGAAGACATGTTATGGAACTAACTTGCAAAACTGATCAGTGCATGACGATGTTTTTGCATGTATAATCTCGCCTCAATGTGGACCGAGATTAAAACAATCGTTTTTTGTATTAGGTCTTATGTTAAAATATGCAAATGAATACTTTTCTAACAGCAACTTTTGCCAAATGTAGCAAAACAATTGGGATTTTGGTCTTTTTCTTTTTACTTTTCGGAAAAAATACATTTAAAAAAACTAATTACATGTTTTCCTGTAGTGTATCACGTTAATCTGAAAACAGAAGTCGTTGTATACTCACTCCCTTTGAGTCCAGACAGGTGTCGGTGCTTTTGGGACATTCGCAGGCGTCCCCCTTCCATCCTTTAGCGCAGGCACAGCCACCCATGACACAGGAGCCATGGTCTGGAGAGAGAGGACACAAAGAGGGTTAACATGTCAGAAGTGTGTGTGTGAAAATATGAGTAGTAAAGTCTAAAAAACATAAATGAGTTTCATAGAAAGGAAAACATTAGAAAACACAGCATGGTTTTCACTTTTGGTGGAAATTTCATTCACTCACAAAATGTTCCTTGAAAAAACGATTATTTTGCTGTTAATCCACCACTCTGTAAATCTGCAGCTCAAATCTACAGGAGAGTAAATACATGTTCATAGAGACCCCATGCACACCCCATCATTAACCCTCATTTGGACATGGAGAAAGCTGGTACCGCTGCACAGGAATCCTTGGTAGCGTGGACACTGGGTTTTGTCATACTGGCAGTACGGCCCCTCAAACTGGTCGGGGTTGTAGCAAACACAGACGCCACAGGCCGAACAATCCCCCCGACCAGAGCAGGGCTCCTTCATCCCCGGAGCGACGCACTGGCTGCTGTCTTGGGCTGAAGTGATGGCCGAGCAGTTACAGAACGAACCCAACCTGATGGAGAAACATAACGCAATATCTCAGGGACGCCGTGAGGGAGAGTCTTCAAATGTGGTGCAGATGTTCATTTGGACTAAAGGATGAGCTGATTACAATTTGAAGGTTCAATGAGAATGTGATCTAATTTTAGTCCCATTTGCGTGGATGGGATATTGCAGGAACGCCTTTTGGGAATGTCTTCAAATTTGGTGCAGATGTTCGATTGGACTCAAGGATGAGCTGAACCCAATCTGGAGGTACTATGACAATGTGATCTAATTTTAGTCCCATTTTCGTGGTTGGGATATTGCAGGAACGCCCTTAGGGAATTTGTTCAAATTTGGTAAAAATGTCCACTTGGACTCAAGAATGAGTGGATACATTTTTTTGTGGACGATGGTTATTGAGATTTGACGTTCGTTCCATTCTTGTGAACGTAATATCTCAGGAAAGCGAGGGAGGGAGAGTCTTCAAATTTGGTCCAGATGTTCATTTGGACTCAAGGATGATCTGATGAAAATGTGAAGGTTCAATGAGAATGTTATCTTATTCTATTCCCATTTCCGTAGATGGGATATTGCAGGAATGCCCACGAGGCGTTAACTGTAGTTTAATTCTTTATATAATAAAATAATAATAAATAATGAAAGACTCACCAGCCGCTAGAGCACTGACACTTCCCACACACCAGGTCTCCATTTTTATGACAAATGTCTGCTTTAGGGAGGGTAGTCTGGAGGAACGAGAAAACGAAAAGAATACCATGAAGACATGTGAGAAAAAGCAGCTTTGTCTCGTGCTTTTGGTGCGTTTAAGTGACAGGTGATACTTTCCTTCTTGAATAATCCAACTATTATTATCTAAATTAAAACAAAAGTCTATAAATGGTTGAAAAAAGAAAAAAATTGCCAAGGTCATGTGTTGTTTGTCATTGTCAATAGTGTATAAAACAGAGAAAACTCTGTATTAAAGCAAAAAAAACTGAATTTTCTACAATTTTTGCATTAAAGATGAACCTAAGTTCACTTAACCAAAGACAAAGGAGACATTAGGATGAATCCACCATGAAGCAATGTGAAAAAAAGCAGCTTTAGCTCGTGTTTTTGGTGCGTCTAAGTGTTATAAAGTGTGTGTACCTTCTCACAGTCGCAGGTCGGACACAGAATGGAGGCTTTAATGTTTACGCCGGCATTGAAGGTCGTTGGTTTGACTCTCATTTCCCCCTCTTTGTCGGCCTCATCAGACTCACAGACCGGACTGTCATCGAGCATTCGGTGGGCTTTGACTCGCATCTGGAACTTTCCCTGGAACACACACACACACACACACACACACACACACACACACACACACACACACACACACACACACACACACACACACACACACACACACACAACACACACACACACACACACACAC